AGGGACCCTCTGTTGTGTTCCCTGTCAGGACGTTCATTGGTGGTAACCGGACACCATCTAGTTCTTCTGGTCTCAGGCTGATGAAGTCTCTGGTTTATGTGGCCCATTCTGTCTCTTTGGCCAATACTAATTACAAAGGTTTAAAAAAATATTAAAATTAGGATATGATAGAAGAGAATATGTCAGAAAATTATTTCTCCAATAGACACAGCAGAGATACATCTGGATTAGCAAGAATCTCAGCATTTGTTGCTTGCTGTGTTAGTCATTTTATTATTAACCACAAAGATGTTCATGAAGTTACAGTGCTGTTGTGGTGTTTCATAATTAAATTTGTATTTGAAGAGAATAACACTTGCATAAATGCTGCTGCTTTTCTGGCAGTCAGTATTATTTCATGAAAACATAGGAAGATGTAGTAGTCATTATTTTTAGGAGTTACCTTGATGTGTGAATGTTGGTATTTTGCACAGTGAATTTTAGAATTTATGTACTATATACTTTCTTACCATATTCTAGACCTGTTTTTTGTAGCATGGTGGCCACTAGCCACATGTGGCTATGTAATTTTAAATTACTTTAAATTAAATTATAATAAAAATTTAGTTTCTCAGTCACACTAGCTACCTTCCAACTGCTTAATAGCCACACATGGGTAGGGGTTACCATATTGGACAGCACAGGTAGGGGCTATCATATTGGACAGCACAGACACAGAACATTTTAATCATTGTCGAGTTCCAGATTGTAAGAAGTTATGCATAAAAAAAAAAACAACCAAACTACCATTTTGTATGATTTCTTTTTACTTTGTGGTAATTACTGAAATAAAATATTAAAATAAGAAAAGGAAGATAAACACAGTGAAAATACGTTTCCCTGCTATTTTTGTTGTTTTCTTTTTTAGTTACTTATGGTAGATAAAGTAATGATTTTAACTGTAACCAAATGTACTAAGTGTGCCCAATGCCTGCTCAGCTAAATGCAAAATCCAGTGGAGAAAACATTTGCTGGTTCATTATCAGTTATGTATTCTTGGACATGCAAACAGTGAAAGGCAACAATAATTACAGTGATGGGCAGCGACTGCTGATTTTGCTTAAATTTCACTGGAATTCATAGCATGTCCACTTAAATTCCCTATTTTTTTCCTTCCTTGGAATTGGGAGAAGGCAACATCAGAGAGAAGCATTGGAGAAGTAGTACAGTAGAATAAGGGCCTAGAAAGTTTTCTCCAAGTTTGAATACTTAGTTTTCCTTCACTGACCACGTAATTGTAGAATAAACTTACTTCATTGCTATAGAAACCGTTTTCTCCATTTTTTTAAAGCCCTTGTAATAATTTAAGCAATAATTTAACACAGCCTTTTGTATATTTATAATATGCATTACTTTTATTTACCCTTAATGGTACAGTTTCAACTTATCTAGAAATAGTTTGAAAACTTCCTTGGAGCAGGGGAGGGAAGAAAGCACCCTGAAATATAATGCATCTTATAGTTCCATCTTGATTTGGAAGAGTCCGTCATTATCTTGCTATTGATTTTTGTTCTAGGTTGCTTGCAGTGGTTAAATGTGGAGGAGGCACAGTTATTAAAACTGCATTTAGATGGTGGGGATTTGTACAAATAGGATGGTTAATATATGATAATAAGTAAAAATAGGTGTTGATTTGGTGATATGTAAATCTTTCCAGAATTCTTTGAGATAAAAATGTCCAGTTTGCATGGGCAATTGTAATTTAGGTCGTCTGTATTTGAGAGCTAATCTAAAGTCTCAGTACAAATTATATTGAGTTGGGTAGGGGAGTTTGCACACTATATGTTCTCCATATATAAAGCACTTATATAGTAGAGGAGACTCAGTTTTACATAATCTATCATTGTGATAGGGTAGTAGAAGCATTAGTTTTCAGGTATAGAGTCATCATTTGACTTTCTGCTTGCACCTGAGTTACAGGTGCAACAGAGAAGGTGTGGCCTGGGGCATATTCATTCATCAGTCGCTTCTTCCATAAGCATTTACTGAGAGAGAGTTAACCTTCTTGAACTTTTCTATCAAAAGTGTCTCTCCCTGAAACAAATTAGAAAATTAATATAAATTACATAGAAAATTGATATAAATTACATAGAGACTGCCAGGATACTTATGGTGTTTAGGTAAGGGGGAAATACATGTTAAAGATAATTGTTTCTGTGTGTGGAGGGTAGTCTTCTCTACAGAACTACTACCTGGATGGATTATTTTCTAAAACATAATCTTTCTTTGGTATGCTTTGGGTATAACTGAGAATGTAACTGCTGAGATAAAATGATTTAAATAAGAGAAACACATGTTGATATACCTGGAAATTAAAAATTCTAGGTCTTCTTTCTGGGATTAACACTGACATTAAATTAGATGATAAACAAATGTTTCACAGGTATTTTTCAAGGAAGAGGAAGCATTTACCATTCAGCCTTACAGAAATTTCATTTCAAATTAAAAAAATTTGTTTCTCCCCATTATTAATGCAATTAGGTGCTCCAAAACAGAAGCATTTTTAATATATTTCAGTTTACGTCAGCTTTGTTTCCAATTCTGTACTGGAATAATCTTTCATGAACAAAAAACCAAAACCAAACCCATTGCTGTTGAGTCAATTCCGACTCATAGTGACCCTGTAGGACAGAGTAGAACTGCCCCATAGAGTTTCCAAGGAGCGCCTGCTGGATTCAAACTGCTGACCTTTTGGTTAACAGCCGTAGCACTTAACCACTATGCCACCAGGGTACAAACAAAAGGATAGCTCAAATAAAGAGATACCCACTACCCGTTGCCGTCAAGTCGATTCTGACTCATAGCGACCCTATAGGACAGAGTAGACCGATAGGGTTTCCAAGGAGTGGATGGTGGATTTGAACTGCCGACCTTTTGGTTAACAGCCATAGCTCTTTAGCCACTGGGCCACCAGGGCTCCAAATAAAGGGATAGGATGATTTTTGACAATGATTCCTTAGGCAAAGAGTTGTTGTCGGGTGCCGTCAAGTCAATTCCAACTCATAGCCACCCCAGGTGACAGAGTAGATCTGCCTCATAGGGTTTTCTTGGCTGTAGTCTTTACAGAAGCAGAATATCAGCTCTTTATCCCACATAGCTGCTGGTGTGTTTGATCCACCAACTTTTCGGTTAGTGGCGAGTGCTTAACTGGTGCACCACGAGGGCGTCTAGTCAGAAAGTTGGCATTCACATTAAGTATTGGACCATCAGAGACTTTGAAAAAAACAAGGCTTTGTGATTATATATATTTTAATCATAACGATTGTATTCTGTTATAAGTAGTTTTCTGGTTGTCATTTCAGCTATGAAGTCTTATACTCCATATTTCATGCTCCTGTGGAGTGCTGTCGGGATGGCGAAGGCTGCCAAAATCATCATCGTGCCGCCAATTATGTTTGAAAGCCATATGTACATTTTCAAGACGCTAGCCTCGGCCTTGCACGAGAGAGGCCACCACACAGTGTTCCTCCTCTCCGAAGGCAGAGATATCGCTCCATCTAATCATTACAGCCTCCAGCGCTACCCAGGGATCTTTAACAGTACCACCTCAGATGCTTTCCTGCAGTCCAAAATGAGAAATATTTTCTCTGGGAGATTGACAGCAATTGAACTGTTTGACATACTGGATCACTATACTAAGAATTGTGATATGATAGTTGGCAACCGTGCCCTGATTCAGGCTCTGAAAAAGGAAAAGTTTGACCTGCTGCTGGTGGACCCTAATGACATGTGTGGATTTGTGATAGCTCATCTTTTAGGGGTTAAATATGCTGTATTTTCAACTGGCCTTTGGTATCCTGCTGAAGTAGGCGCTCCTGCTCCGTTAGCTTATGTTCCAGAGTTTAACTCACTCCTCACAGACCACATGAACTTGCTGCAAAGGATGAAAAATACCGGCATTTACCTCATTTCCAGACTAGGAGTCAGCTTTCTGGTTCTTCCCAAGTATGAAAGGATAATGCAGAAGTACAGCCTGCTGCCGGAGAAGTCCATGTATGATTTGGTTCATGGGTCCAGCCTGTGGATGCTGTGTACTGACGTAGCACTGGAATTTCCAAGACCCACCCTGCCTAATGTTGTTTATGTAGGAGGAATCCTAACCAAACCAGCCAGCCCGCTACCAGAAGTAAGGTTTGCTGAACTCTTTGGTAATTTTTTTTTTTTTTTTCAAATGTAAAGTCAGTGTAGATTTGGAGGAGAGTAAAGGATTGGTTATTGTTTGTTAACTCGTGCCACTCTGAAAAGCATATGGGGCACAGAACCTACCAAAGGCCCTTTATTTCCGGATGCACTACTTACTGGAAGACTTTCCTGCTTTGAATGAGCATTCATGTAATGCTGAGAGGTTGCTCTGCCATATGGTCAATAGACTGGCAGGGAAACAGATTCTTGATTAAGTAATAGCTATGTGAAGGGGCCCTGGTGGTGCAGTCGTTAAGCATTTGACTGCTAACCAAAAGGTCAGCAGTTTGAATCCACAAACTGCTCCTTGGAAACCCTATGGGGTAGTTCTACTCTGTTCTGTAGGGTTGCTATGAGTTGGCATTGACTTGACAGCAACGGGTTTGAGGTTTTTTTTTTTTTTTTGGATAGTCTGTGAGAAGGAGCCCTGGGGGCACAGTGGTTGAGCACTCGGCTGCTAACCGAAAGGTCAGGGGCTCGAACCCACCAGCTCTGTGGGAGAAAGATGTGGCAGTCTGCTTCCATAAAGATTACAGCCTTGGAAACCCTATGAGGCAATTCTAGTCTGTCCTTTAGAGTTGCTATGAGTTGGAATCAACTTGACGGCAGTGGGTTTTGGTATAGTATGTGAGGAGAATGTAGTTAGCTGGTTAGTTTTATTGAGTGTAAATGAGGTTGCTTTCGATTAAAAGCAGAGTTTCCTGTGTTCTACCCCAGAAGAACAGTCACAGGTCTCTAAACGGTGACTTGAGTTAGGATTAGGTTCAATGAACTCAACTAAATTCACCAGTTGCCATCGAGTCGATTCCAGCTCATAGAGACCCTATGTGTCGCAGGGTAGAACTTCTTTTGAAAGTTATAACCACCAGAAACTTCATGTCGCACAGTGAAAATGAGGGGGTAACTTTGATCAAACTAGGGGATTAACTCGTTTTAAGTTAGTAAGCAACTGTAGTTATTTTAGGAAAATCATGTCGTATTGCTATTCCATTTCAAAGAAGGGATTAATGGAATTGTAAGAAAACCTGGCTGCTTTGTAAGGCAAACCTAAATTCTTTTTTCTGGTTCAGCTGCTAGTGGGCCCCCTGGTAGCTGTATTCTCCATCTTAGTTTGTTTATTAGGTATCTCAAACTGGCGGCAGCCATATCTGAGTATCTTTTGTTGTAGTGGGTTTGTAACTGCAGGCCGACTCTCTAAATTTCACCTAACATCTGCCTGTGCCGTGATTTTCTCCATTGAAGCTATTTCTACTCTTACCTCCGAAAACAGCCACTCTTAGTAACTCTAATAAATTGTTTATTTCCAGCTTTGGTCACTACATTAAAAAAAAACAAAAACCTGCCAAGACCTTGATTGAAGAGCTTTTCCTGTATTCAAAAAACAAAACAAACCAAAAAAAAAAACCCTTTGCCGTCAAGTCGATTCCGACTCATAATGACCCAATGGGATAGAGAACTGCCCCACAGGGTTTCCAAGGAGCAGCTGATGGATTTGAACTGCCGACCTTTTGGTTAGCAGCCGAGCTCTTAACCACTGTGCCATATAGGCACAGAATAATGACAGTTACTAGGCAGAATTTTCTTATGGAGTAATGATGTGATTGGAATACACGGCCTGTAGACTTTCCTAAGACATCCATTAGAAATACATTTAAGAAAGAATACCTTGATATATTTTCTATAATAAGGAAATGGAGCTGACCAGATCCATGGCCTGTATGACCCCAGCATTTCAAATAGTGACTTCCAGTAGAGGCCACGAGGGCCCAGTTGTTCTCTCTGACATTAGTTATAAAGGGTAGGGATTACTCTCAGTTTATCTCAACCATTCATGAATTTCTCCAAGCTCATTATGAATCCTTAAATATTTTTAGCCAGAGTCACCATGTACTACTTCTCTTCCTAAAGGTAGCTAAAAATGCCACTTTTTAGAAGCAGCTTCCAAAAGAATTGGTAAACAAGTCTGCCTTTGCCTTAACTGAGTCAATCATGACATTATAGTAATCCACCCTGTTCCCTCCAAGTCTTCACTTTTTCACAACTAGAGCACTGCCCTTCTGCCAGCTTCTTCTTGATTTTTTTCTTGGGTGCTGGTTCTCTTCTTGAGTCATCTGCTTGAAGAAGAAATCAGTGATGAAAAGGAATCATCTTATTTGCCTTTTTTTCCCTTCAATCCCTGTACATTTTTCTTAAGTTGTAGCAACTTGAACTATCAGTATAGATATAGAGTAATATTTTATGCTTTGTTTTGTATACTGTGCCCTTCATTAAGATGTCTAGCATATGAGAATTTTTTCCCCCTATAACCTAAGCTTAACTTCTCCCCCGTGGGTCCCTCTGCCCACTGATGCCCTAACTAGTTTCATTACTTTGTTTTACTTTAAAAATGTCTTTTGAGTGGTTCTGGGAACCTCATATAAGGTGTTGCTCAAGGTGAGTTTTTGATTTGCCATAATTTGTAGTTTGACACACTGGCTTGACTTACTTTGTGGGTCTCCCTGTTCTTTCTTTGGGCTTTTTTTAGTGATTCTTTTGACAGTGTGCTTTTTTTAAAGCAGTAATCACTTTAGCTGTGCAAGTAAGTTAAATCACACGCACACATACATGTGGCACACACCTGTGTTTTATATATATGTGTACATAGATACTATATTATCATCCAAAGTCTGTTAGGTTATGAGTGTCAAGGGCTGTTTGTAGTTCAGTGTGCCATTTAGAGTTCTTCAATAGGGAGTGTTTGGAAGAATGATTATGGTTATTGCTGCAGCTATCCCTTACTCTGGTGAGGTTTTATATGCTTAGGAGAACATGAGTTTCTATTGGGATTTCTCTGGTAGATTTATTGGATACAATAAACTGTACCTTAGGATGCTAAAAGTTAATGAGTTTCTCAAATGCCTGTGTTATTTAAAGGGCATAGTTGTGACACCAAAACAGTAGGGCCCAGCAAGTGACCACTTGGAACACATGATTCACTAATAACAGCTTAATTGTTATTGCCTTGGTATCTTACACTGGAAATGGATTAGGTGATGTCTGGAAATGATTTGACAGTCGGGTTTGAATTTCACAGACTGGGATGGAGGGGTAGAGAAAATTTCTAAAAGACAGTTTTTTGAAGCTTTCATGATGTTTGAGCCCAAAGAAGCTTTAGAGACTGTCTGGTTGATGCCATCGTTTTATTTATTTTTCCCTCAAAATACAGAGAATAGTCCGTTCATTTGTCAGATAAGGAAATGCAAGGAGTTGCAATGCCTCACCCAAGGCCGCGTAGCTAGTTTCTGGCAAAGCCAGGTGTAATGTGGATTGTTTTGTTATTGATTAGTTATTTTGTGAAGATCCCGACATCTCTTGTCATTCATTTTACATTTAAAACTGTGTACAAAACTATGCAGAGACAGGTATTTCTTTAATGTTATTTGGTGTCTCAAAGACTGGGAGGGCTTAATATGAGAGTCAACTTAAACTCTTTGGATCTTTATTTTTACTTGTAGTTGGCGATTTGATAATAAGAAATCAGCCTAAACCCAAATTTTTTTTATTACAAAGTGTTGTATTGGTATAGAATGAAGAAACTGTGTGCCTTGATTAGAATCATATTTAAATGTGTGTTATAAATGTGACTGGAGGAATCAACGTCTCATCATACTATCTACTGCCAGGCTGCCTATAGTGAGTCAGTTGCTGTCAAGTCATTTTCAACTCATGGTGGCCCCATGTGTATCAGAGTAGAACTGTGTTCCATAGGGTTTTCAATGGCTGATTTTTAGGAAGTAGATTGCCAGGCTTTTCTTCTGACATGCCTCTGGGTGGACTAAGACCTCCAACCTTTCAGTTAGCAGCCAGGCACATTAACTGTTTGCTCTACCCAGGGACTCCAGCTACCTATGCTAGGCGTCCTTAAAAGAAGATGTGGATTTAGGCGAAGAGTTCTGGCTTGGGTCACATCCATGGAGTGGTTTCTCTCTTATACCATTACAGGGCAGTAGAGACCACGGATACCAAAAAGGTTTGCTTCAGCCAGGAAGGAGGTCTGTTGGAGGGTTCATATTGATGAATAAGTACATTAAATATTGACTCTGGATGAAATTATGGCATCTAATGGTAGTCTGATAGCTTTGTTAGGGAGTAAGAACAATATTACTACAAGAGAATAGCACGTGTCAATCTAGGGAGGCTTCAGTTATTAAAATTAAAATGTTGTAGATAATTTTTAGATGATTTCCCATTGGCTGAAGGCCTGGCCGTGCCAGGTGGGTTGATCTCTGCCACTTTTCAGCTCTTATAGCACAGAACTCTAATCACACCAAAGAGGTTGTACCTTAACTGTTTGTTTAGATGACTGTCTCCCTAACTAGAGTGTGGTATCTCAAAGGGTGAACCCTGCTTTGTTCACCTTTGTACCCTCACTGCGCAGAAAATGATAGCACTCAATAAATGTTGAACATTAATCAACTGTGTCAACTGAAAATAGTTGCCAAAAAACAGGTGATTCAATTAGTACAACAATGTTGTTAATATTATAACAATTTTCTGTTTATTCTAAATTTATGCCCACATACCATCCCAATCAGTAAGCAACCAAAAATGCCAGGGAAGATTATTTCTGATGAATTAGAATAGCTACCCTAATGTTATTAATATTGAGAAAAGGAGAACACCATACATTTACCCAGTTGGTGAACTAAAATGATGTTTACTGTGTTCCAAATATGCATGAAAAATGGATATTTATTGAAAGTCAGGCTGCCAGTTGGAAGCAGAGATGTCATCTTGAAAGATGATTTGAAGTAGTATGGCACTCATTTGGTATATTCTGTAGATGCTTTATTGCCAGGCTAGCAGTATTTTACAAGTTGCAGAGACATTTTTAATGTAGAGAAACAGTTATGGGGAAAAATAAAGATAAGACAAGAGACCAACATAGATAAGAGAGTGTGAGGC